GAATATTTTAAGTCATTTCTTCAACAAACACTAATTGAAAACTTGCTAGAACCAAACATAAATATCATGTTGCACCCTCCTTGTCACCTAATCACCCCCCTTGCCTTGTTACTCTGCCCCCCCCCCCCCCCTTGTTGTGAGCCCCCGCATCCTTTCAGTTCCAAACCAGAGTGAGGTAGAAGTCTATGACATCCAGAGAAAGACAAAAGGATGAGATGGAATTGGACTTACAAAGGATCAAATTACATGGAAACAATACACAGGGAAAGGGGCAAAACTGGATGATAAAAAATCTACAACTTTTCACAATTCTTCAGTGTAAAAACATTGGCACAAACAATAGCAATAAAAAAGCAGTATAGCAATAGTCTAATCAGGGCTTTCAGAATTATTCAGAGTAGGTGTCTGTTTTGATAAAGTAGGCGGCTGTAGGGAGGGGACGGTTTAGTTAGGTCCAAATTAATTAGGTACATTGATTAGATAGCAACACAACACAAATAATGATGTATCACTACTTTCACTCTTCAACAACCTTTATTGTCAATTTCAAGTCACTTTTCAACGCGTGGTTCCCAAGTTTGTTGCAAACGTGTCAATTACGTTTTTTTCAAATTTCATTTCAATGTTTGAACTTTGTTTGTAAACAAATGTTCATATATTCAATAATAATAACCAATTCAATGAAATAAAAACCTTATTTTGAAAGCCCTGCTAATAGTCTATATTTCTTAACACTATTGGTATTTTTATTGACAACTAAGTTGCTTGCCGCCCTACCTGCATTTAATGTGTCTAAAGCTTCATCTACGGCGTCTTTGAACTGTGCCGCATCATCTTTACTGTGGAAATTTAGACCATACACCTGTCTTTGATCCCGCCATTGATGAAACGTCGGTGTCGCTGCATTATATTTCATATTGCGAATAATTGAACAATTTATTACTACCTATAATGATAATCATTAATACATAATCAACATTTTGAGCTGATTGAAATCACAAAGTCTTCTGGGGCATCATCATCTGAGCCTACATAAACCCAGCAAAACTCTGGTAGGTACGGGCATACTACCTAACATCATCACCATTATCACCATTATCATCATCATGACACCACCATATATCTCATTGCCACTACCACCATCACCATTATCACCATTATCACCACCATGTTAATCATGAAGCAAGGTTTAATGGAAGTCAATCCAAAGTGATAGATGGCAAGCAATGGCAACCTCCTTATTTCTTGTTGGAAATCACAAATACATTGACTGCTGTTGTTGATTTCAAACAAACAAACACTGATGCTATCACTCACCATCTATAATGGCTCAATTGACTTCTGGGCGGCATTTGTGTTGTCAAAAATGTTGCTTGCAACCTTGAGCTTTCTAATATCACATTACCACCACAATCATCATGCACCATCATCACCATAATCACCACCACCACCGTCATCACCACCACCATAATCACCACTACCACCACCACCACCACCATTATTTCACCTTTTAGAGGAACACACCTCCCAAGAGTTGGCAAAGTCTACACAGAAAGCTCAATGTATAGAAATGTACTAACCACTTGATGGTCTGTCATACTTCGACCGACTATCCTAAACGTATTATTTCCTTCATGATGATACACTTGTACATGCGACATCCCTCGGACACCTTCTGCTGGTTCCCAGGCTTTCTTCTCATTATTATACATCATCACTGATGCTCTTGATTTTACTGTTGATACCTCACTATATAATGAAGGTCATGTTTACCAAAATATAAAATTGCAGAAACACTTATGTAAATGTGTTGAACACCAGACTTATAGATTTCGATATAATGAAGGGCTTTGAAGGCAATGTTTACTAAAATATAAAATTGCAGAAACACTTATACCAGACTGGACAGATATAACCAGGTGCTCTCATAGCCTCTAATCAATATTGTACCCACCTCACCCCTTTACCTACATTGCACACATCCAACATTATACCCACCTACACCCTTACCCCATTCACCAACATTGCACCCACCCTTACCCCTTCACCCATTGCACCCACCCATAGTCCATAATCAACATCGCACCCACCTAACATTGTACCAACCCACCCTTACCCCATTCACCCACACTTACCCCCATTAGGGCACATGGCAGCTTAATTCATCAATGTCGGCATGGGATATATGGATGTTGTCAAAATTTAAAAATTAAAATACTTTTTGAAAGATAGTGTGGACCATGTCAGTAACAAAATAGAGCAATAGACAAAAGATAATTAACCTGAAATGGGTCACAAAATATCCATACCTACACCACGGAGGAAATCGGAAGCTAACTCCCTACCCCCAAATGGCAGAAATTCCCTCTGTAGGGGAGTGCAGACCTTTTCAGGAATGACCCAATAGCAAACAGACACATAATTATTGTGCTTCAAACAGAGCTAACACAGTTAATTAACATTACATAAACTGTGTATAGTTCCCCTTGAGAGAAACAAACAAACCCTAGCATGGCAGGTTATTAAATATACACTTTGAACTATTTTTAATAAATATCTAGATAACCCATGAGATATCTCCTCAGTCACAAAGTGATATCTGGCACTCCAAAATCATTATTTAGCTGACAGATTTTGTATTGATCAATATTTAAGAATGTGCCACATGCCAAAACAATGTGATCAGGCATGCTTGTTTTTGTTGTTTCATAAAATATTTCTGACAAATCACAATAAACAGACAAATCTCATATGGTCTTAACCTTTATATCTTGTAAAAAACAAGGAAATAAAGCATATTTTGCAGTAACCAGTTTAATTATTTTAGAGACACTTAGCTTTCATTGTACGAATATATTGTATACCATAGATTATATCTATCAACCCTTTACAAACTTTATAGCTAATTTGGGCGCGACCTTGCTAAAATTGAAGCAAATAAATGTGCTAAAATTCCACCAAGTTTGCGCGGAATAATACGCGTCGATATACACAATAAACATTAGTAATTTTCCATTAGTTTTAGCGAATTTAGATGGATATTTTCTTTAAAATATGAAACTTACAACTTCCGCAAATGCAGACTGTCAAACACAAAATCCGCAATGTCTGTCAAATTGACTTATACTTTAAACAGAATATAGTCTTTTGGAGGTAAACAGCTATTCAGCTGACAGGAAATTTAGGTTTCGAAATAGTGTTTTTTCCATTTTACTCAAAAAGCTTTTGTTAAAGAACTTTGCAGGAAATTCAATAGGCATATTTTAATCCAATTGTTTGTCTATCACACAAGTTATATTTCATTGCTTATAGACGATTTTCTGGCCAACCCCTTTGATAATATTTCATGATAAACTGACAAGTAAATAGAGAGCGCAAAGAAGCTTATAATTTAGTTGTTGAATAAACTTAGTAGAAAAGCAGAGGGAGAATTTAGGTTAGGGTTGTATACAATAAACAGACAGCCTGTATATTGAAAGCAGAAGTATATACAAATATGTGGTTTTGAACGGAAAAATACAAGGTAAAAAAGCACTGTGATTTATTAAATATAGACGTATGAAATGCTGGAATATTGGGCAAAATCCTGAGAAAAATACCTCATTTTGGCGTGATTTTAGATGACTATTCCTTCTAAAAGTCTGTCTCACTTCCGTACAAATGCCCAGCTTAGCTTGACGGCTGCCCGCTGTTTCGCCAGTCTTTCGATAAAATATTGCTTCTAGATGGATTTGACAGGCTCCGTGTGTGTACAGAGATTTGTCTCGAGCTGTGCAAACAATATACAGCAGTAAATTTCACAAGTGATTGCCAAAATACCAAGGCAGACATTCACATTCGCCGAGTTCGGCTACACTGCCCGGATAATTACCCAACCGGATAGTGCGAGTACAACCCCCCACGAAATGTACCCGGGTTTTTATCCCTCAGACACAAAGAGAGTTTCCTTGCGAAAAAATATTCCTGAAAGATTTGATGCTGGTAATTTCAATTTGTCCAATTTGCTTACATGTAATAACGAAAATCAAAATATTACCAATGCCAATTTAGAAACAGGCTTCATATTACCATACTTGCGATATCGTTTTCTATGAAAAGCGATATTGCAGACAGTATAGGTTTTCTATCCAAAAGAAGATTGAAGACACAACACTATAAAAAGTAGCTCCAAGATTCTCGAGGCGCGTGAGGCCAACATCGTCCTCCTATCGGCATGATACAAATGCGTGGGACGAAAAATTCGAACTAAGAGGAATAGTGCACGCATATTTATATATTATCAGGGATATTATCCTCTGCATAGCACGCATAACAATAGTACGATCCAGTGATCAGAATGTTTCTTTGTGTTTCCATTGTTTTCAAAATCTCTCGGTTATCACTCATTGTTTTAACTTAATTTAACATTTACGCAAGCAGCCTATTATTTCAAGAGATGACGTAAGGACTAAAGGTGCATTTACCATATAGGAATATATCAATATCCTGATTCGAGTGCTTAAGATGGCATATACCGGATTTCATTGTCAAGACAAAGAGGTTTTTTTTCATTTTCCTCAACAGCCGCGAGAACTACAGTATGTAGGAAGTTTCTTTTAGTTTAAATGTAAAAGGCGGGTTTGTCCGTGTAGAATGGCATGTGAGTGTAAATTTCGGGAATTGTTGTAACTTTGGCCACTTTACGCTATGCCGTGTAGCTTTCTGTAGAAGAAACACCTCCGATACGAAATGTATAACTTTCAGAAGCGGAGCGAAGGAGCATCTCTCCGTTGCAATAATTCCTCTGAAAATAGCTGGAAGGTACAGATAGGTGTTTTTCACGTCGCTACGGAAAGCTATTCGGTGCACTTATCCCCAATCCCATCCTTTTTAAATATTCATTAGTGCATTGTCCATTGATTTCAACAAATGCACAAGAAATAATAAAAATCTTTTATATAAAAATAATTGTTTACATCAATAAAATTAATAAATAATATCAATACATAATGTTAAAAAGTTCATATTATTGCGTCCGTACTCGAACTGTTGCGAATGTCGAGTGGCAGTTTTTGCTTGGACATTTGCAGAGTTATCCAACGAGTCCAGGACAACAAAAGGTTCAGAGGTATTCTTCCAAACCTATCAATGTAATGAAAACAATCGTGTCAACTTCAGTCTTCACTTTCAAATGGTCCGTGCCAGCGTAGGTAGTCACAAAAATACCAGGAAGCTGCGAGGGATTCAACTACATGAGCGAAGGCCCCTTCCCTTTTATCCTATCAATCCACACTTTTCACTTTCAAATGTACACAAAGGTTTTTCAAGAAATATATACTCACCAATGTAAACCATTCCACGAGCTTAGGTTATTCTCATATCTATCTGAGAACAGTGCGCATAACCTTGCCAGTCGTTTCGTTAACTATAAAAAAGAGAAATATATAAATGAAAATAATGCATTTTATGAAGTGAAAATGAAAGTCTTGCATGCTAGCATCGTTTTATGTCCACATCAGAAAGAGCGGTCACTCTTAAAATGACTTTGTACAGAGACATGTTCAAATTAAGAAATGTGTGCGAAAACTTTGTGAATGTGTCTACGTGTACGGGTTGTTTTTATGTTGTACAGTTGCGACAACTTTCCGATCTTCCGCCCCGATGGTACTCACGCTAATATCCTCCGAGACACACAGATATCGATTACTAAAGATCAACTTCCGACGAGGACAACACACCATGACTTTCAGCACGGTCATGGACTCATGGTTCTTTGAGCGTGGTTCTTCGAGTGTAGATTGTAGTTCTTCGAGTGTGGTTCTTCAAGATCATCACCACCGCCTTTCGCTCGAGCTACTGAACAGAGCTACATAAAACTTATACATAACGATTCAACCGAGTATTTTATATATATTCAACAATATGAAAAATATACGGCAAACCCTTTCGAGAACACCATTCGTTACCTTAACCAATCGCGTATGAGGAACAACGAGCTGCCTTTTGTACTCCGGCTTCGGTCTTCCGAATTTTTCCACAATGAGCTCTTGAGAATGTGACTTTGTCCGCTACTAGCAAAACTTTACCACCGATGACACATTAGTAGTATTTCCGAGACTTTCTATGATCAACTCCATGTTTATCAAATGTGTTTATTTGTCATCAGTAATGTATGTAGATATATTTTAAGGGGGTCCATGTGTTATTTGTAATATATTAAACGTTGTTATGGATGGTTGACCCTATCAAAGTTTCTGTGATCACAGTAGAAATTTTGCAAAGGTAAATTCTAAGTTTAGAAGGATTTGTAAGAAATGTTTGAGGGAACTGATTTGGTGTTTAACACTGAGTCAGTTTCCTCAAACATTTCTTACAAATCCTTCAAAACTTAGAATTTACCTTTGCAAAATTTCTACTGTGATAACAGAAACTTTGATGATCAGCCTTTATACAGGGAACATTGTTGCTGAAACACATGTGACAGAATCGTTTTGTAGTCATGTTTCCTGAAAGTGTGCAAACCTAGACATGTTTCTTAAGATGGACATACTGGAAACATTGTTTCCACAATTTTTCTAGTTTTCCTAGCGTTAATCTGGTTTTCACAGTGTGTGTGCAGCAGCAAATAAAATGAGACAAACAAAAGCATGATGTTGATTACATTTCTATTTCTTGAATTAAAAACTCTTAAAACTAATTCATGTAAAACACTAAACTTAGAAAATTATATTTGTACACAGTGTTTGAAAGCTTTATTTTGCCAGTGATCCACAATTGAATGATCAACCACAAAACAAGTGCTTACCGTCTAGGTGCATATGCATAAGAACTGTGGTAAGACCTGCAAACAAAACAGAATATTCTTATTACATGCTGCGATACTTGGGTGCTGAGAACTGCTTAGGATGCTGTTCCTACTCTTGAACTATTCCTAATCTTGGCAATCCTATTACCAAACCAAGACTTCCTCTAAGGAAATCACCCAATAGACCTTTCCCCTTTT